AAACAAACAAAAACTAATGCAAAACTGTACCATTTTCTTCTCTTCAGAATTGTCCACTGCTTTTCACAAACATTTCTTAGGAAGATTAAATCATTTCTAAAATACAATTTATAAATAATTTGGGGGTTTTGTTGGTCTGTCCCCTTAAATAATTGAGAATAACAGTGTCAGTCTTTGTACATTTCAGGTGTGAACTGTCCCAGAAGAAAAGCTTTTGCCTTTGCAGCCAAAGAAGCTACTTCTCATAACTCATGGGGAAAAAAGATCTTTGTTCATCAGATAGCACTAAGTCACGATATGCTGATGTGAAGTTTGATGTTTTTGGATCTTAAGAAACACTTCTACAGTTTCCTACATTCACCACTCTCTTCTCTGTGCTGTTCTTCTCCATGCAGTTCTTCATCATGATACTTGGCTTCAGTGTGTTTCTATTAAACCGTAAGAGAAAGGACAGAATTTATAAAACAAAGGATATCAGGGCCAGCCCTTGATGCAGATGGAAGGCCTCCAGGCTCCATGAGTTACAGACTGTCAGCATCCTATAGCCTTTCTTACGCCTCCCATTATATCCTTTTCTCAAGTTCTTCATTTACAATGGCCAAAAATGACCAGTAATAGCTTTAGATGTGACCTCTCCTAAGAGTCCTTTTGTTTTTAAGCAATCAAAACTTTAGTTAAACCAGAAGAATTAATCTCTAGTGTGGTCAAATATCTGAGTCTTAGTATCAGCTAGCTAGCTCTCTTGCTTACTTGCTGTGAGATCTTTGGCAAGTTACCTTAACTTTCTGGAGCTGGTTTCTTCATTTATAAATGAGAAGGCTGAATTACATAAGATGTGAGGTTCTTTCCAGTACTAACCTGTCTGATAACATTACCATTGTCCCTGGGACCATGTCTATGTGAAGACTCATATTCCTTTATTGATGGAGATAGGCAGACCCCTAGACAGATACAGAGAGAACTTCAAAGACAAGTCCAGGCTCTACCATGTCTAATCTGTGACTTTGGGCAGGTCACACATTCTCATAGTCTCTGATCTTCATTCTGTTAAACTGTATTAGTATTCTCAAACCCAGGGGTTTTTGAATAATGAATGAAAATATTTGATATTAAGCTCTACAAATGTAAGTGATGTCCGTCATTGTGATGGCACCTGAAGGCCCACTGAGTCACTGGGAACCTTCCCTCCCTGTGAGAATCCTGGGAGTCCAAGCAGCTTTTTGCACAGCTGTCCACCTTACATAGACGTGGCCTGTGCTCTCACTCCCAGCTTTGTACCTGGTATTGTTCTGTCTGCAGCTCCTCCCTCCGACATTTCTTGTATTTGAGTATTCCCAAGCAGCCGTGACCATACAAGTTATCTATGTGAATAGCCTGTTACTTTGAGGTTTGGTCACAAAACAAGCCTCCCTAAATTAGGCAGTTTACACTATTCTGTCTTGCCACACAACACGTGTACACTCATGTACTTCTTTACCTTCCCACATGCTTTTTTGCTCATGACTTATAAAAATATTAGATTCTTGAGCCAGGTTCAGTGGCTTAAACCTGTAATGTCAGCAACTCAGGAGGCTGAGACAGGAGGATTAACTGAGGCCAGGAGCTCAAGACTGTCCTGGGCAGCATAGCGAGACCCCATCTCTAATAAAATGAAAAATAAAAAAAATTAACCAAGCATGGTGGTACATGCCTGTAGCCCTAGCTTCTCAGAAGGCTGTGGCAGGAGAATCTTTTGAGCCCAGGAGTTCGAGGCTGCAGTGAGCTGTGATCGTTCCATAGCCCGGGTGACAGAGCGCTATCCTCCTATCTCTTTAAAAAAAAAGAAAAAGAAAAAAAAAAAAAAAAAAAAAAAAAAAGGCTGGGCTCAGTGACTTCAGTGACTCACACCTGTAATCCTAGCACTTTGGGAGGCCAGGGTGGGTGGATCACCTGAGGTCAGGAGTTCGAGACCTGCTTGGCCATCATAGTGAAACCCTATCCCTGCTAAAAATACAAAAATTAGCTGAGTGTGGTGGTGCACACTCATAATCCCAGTTACTGGAGACTGAGGCAGGAGAATCGCTTGAACATGGGAGGGGGAGGTTGCAGTGAGCTGAAATTGTGCCATTGCACTCCAGCCTGGGTGACAAGAGTGAAACTCCATCTCAGAAAAAAAGAAAAGAAAAGAGGGAGATTCTTCTGCAACTCCTGTTCTTTCCACCTCCCCAGTCAAGCCAAAAGGCATAGATGTGGCAGGGCATCTGAGGGGAAACCAAGAACTGGGATACAAAGGTTCATAAGACCCTTCCCTACCTTCAGTCATGTTTAAGGGCTGCAAGAGAATTGAGTGCAGGATGCTCCAGAAGATTCCTGATGCGGCAGGAAGGTGGGGAAAAGCTTAGAGGAGATGGTATTGAGTGACAAGTACAAAAAAGTAGGGGGAGGCATCTCCATTTTACAGATGAAGAGATAATGTCAGAAGGTTAAGGAACTGTGCCAGAGTCACAACATGTCACCAGAGAGGCTAGAATTCAGAATCTGAAAGAATGCTAGCCTGAGGTTTTGCATCAAGATAAACTGCTGTATGAAAGACAAGCAAGTAATTTTGGGTCTTTACTTTTTATCCATTGCTTTCCAAGATTGCAAATATGTAAGTGCTAAGTTAAAAGAAGCAAATAATTTCATTTTTTTAAGTGACAGTTTTTTGAGGAGAGAGGAATGAAGCAAAAACTAGTGTTTGGAACAATGCAAAGTTAGACTTTTTAGGAAAACCATCTTATTTTTACCAGTATGCTGAAAATTATTAGAGATATTTTTCACATCTTATAATATCATATACAGTGTAAGGTTAATGCTAATATAATTATACTTGTGTACTTGGTTAGTGCCCTGTGAGGGTTTTTTCCTGCAACTGAAAATCTTCCTTTTTTCTTCCTTCTTTTTTTTGTTTTTATTTATTTATTGTTTTATTTTATTTTTTTGAGACAGAGTCTCACTCTGTCACCCAGGCTGCAGTGCAATGGCACAATCTTGGCTCACTGCAGCCTCCGCCTCCTGAGTTCAAGCAGTTCTCCTGCCTCAGCCTCCTGAGTAGCTGGGACTTCAGGCACGTGCCACCATGCCTGGCTAATTTTTGTATTTTTAGTAGAGGCCCCGGGGTTTCGCCATGTTGGTCAGGCTGGGACTATAGGCATGCACTACCACACCCGGCTAATTTTTGTATTTTAAGTAGAGACGTGGATTTCCCCATGTTGGCCAGGCTGGTCTTGAACTCCTGTCCTCAGGTGATCCATCCACCTCGGCCTCCCAAAGTGCTGGGATTACAGGCGTGAGCCACTGCGCCCAGCTGTCCTTCCTTTTTTTTAAAATACAAACGAGGTATAAATGAGAAATGTAGCTTAATGTCATTTAATTCAAAGCTACCTACATTCCATAGACTCCAGAGATGGTGAATTGGCTTTACATGTAAGTCTTTTTCTGCAGTGTGTTAATTATACTAAAGCAAATTATCTTGCCAAGATTCTGAAATCCATTCTTTTGTTTGACCTGTGTAGTTACAGATCACCTAAACTGAAGATCACCTAAAATTTGGTTCCTGTTTTTCCATGAATATCAATTTATTTCTTGCTTATCTCAATTCCCAAATGGCCTAGAAGAATACAGATTTATTACAACGTTATATACACGTTCTTGGACTTTAAGTCACTTCTTTTTCTCAAACTAACATTTTAATTTTAGTTATCTTAATGACATTTCCATGGTTTAAAAGAACATTGTTGACATGCCTTTAATTGGGCAAGTTACAGAATTTATGTGATCTAAGTCTCCTCTTAACAGGAAATATGAGCTCTAAATTCCCTTCCTCCTGTAAGATTCTATGATTCATTATTTTGTTTCAAGTTAATGCTTTACCTTTAATAGCTTGAAGGTAAATAGAGGGTTCTTGATGGATCAGGGCTAGAAGAATCATTTTAAGTTACCAGGTGTGACAAGTCTGGTGGCTCTGGCGTCCTTTTATTTCTTGGCCAGAAGACATCAAGAGTAATCCATTTTCGGCTTAAGTGAATTTTGTGAGATTTGACCATGGACTAATATGACTGCCAGCATGTCACAGGTGCACAGCTGGCAGACAATAAATGATCGTTGAAGTCAACTTAGGTGTGGTTGAATTGATTGTCTTGGTGAGTTATAAACTGTTTCTAAATAAAGTCCCCCCCAACCCCCCAAAAGAGAGAGAGATTCAAAACTAAGCCCAGGAAGGAAAATGAACGTACAAATATTTATATGCAGATGTTTATGGCAGCTTTATTTTTCCTAGCTTAAAAACTGGAAACAACCAAATGTTTATCAGTTGGTGAATGGATCAACAAAGTGTGGTACAGCCATACAATGGAACAGGACCCAGCAGAAAAACAGAGCAAACTATTGATACTTGCAACCACACAGATGAATTTCATCTCAAAGGCATTATGCCACAGGAAGGAAACCACACACTCAAAAGACTACATACTCTATGGTTCCACTTCCTGGAAATTCTTTAAAAGGCAAAGCTGTAGGGACAGAAAGCAGATCTGTAAAATGTTACCAGGGTCTGTGGTGAGAGGAAGGCACTGACTGTAAAGGGGTATGAAGGAATTTTCTCAGGTTTTGGAAATGTTCTGTATCATTTCAGTGGTAATGATATGAATGTATACATTTGTCCAAACTAACCACATTGTACACTTAAAATGGGTGACTTTTATTATATGCAAATTACACCTCAGATAAAAACAAGCAGACACAGCCAGGGCAGCATCTTGAATGCCTTACAAAGTGACTACTTCACTTGAGGAAGTAATCATTTTTAAACTTCCAATTTTGAAAGCCTGTTGTTAAGATGTTAATAGCATTAATTTTTATGGTGAATCTATACCAAATATTAACCCCCCTAAAATGTGTTTGCTTAGAGAATAGTGAATGATCCACTGGCTTTAATATCTCATTACATTTTTGCTTTCTTTTTGTCTCTCTGCCCAACGTAGAAAAACTAATTGAGGGACTCAAATCTCCTGACACTTCTCTTCTGCTCCCTGACCTCTTGCCTATGACAGATCCTTTTGGTAGCACTTCCGATGCTGTAATTGGTAAAGTCATCATCTCTGTTTCTTCAGTCATGCATGATATGTGTGCCTGTTTCAAGAATGACAAGTACCTAGTTAACCAGTCCCCAGGGAATAGCCCTGCCACCCCAGAAGCCAAAGCTATTTAATCTCACTTGTATCACTCCAAATGAAGTGTTTTCCCTGCTTTTCAGGGGTACAGCATCTATTTTTTTGCCTTTCTTAATACCTTAAGATTTCTAAAGTGGATCTCTTATGAATGAGGAGGAATGTGAAAAGTTTCACATGTAGTTAGAAAAACTTTAAAAAGTTGGTTTCTAACTAGACTTTACCTTTGCTGAACTTAATGAAATTTAGCAGATTCTTTTTATTTTTTTATTTATTTTTATTTTTATTTTTTTGAGACAGAGTTTCGCTCTTGTTGCCCAGGCTGGAGTGCAGTGGCTTGATATCGGCTCACTGCAACCTCTGCCTCCCAGGTTCAAGCGATTCTCCTGCCTCAGCCTCCCGAGGCTTGCACCACCACGCCCAGCTACTTTTTATATTTTTAATAGAGACAGGGTTTCTCCATGTTGGTCAGGCTGGTCTCAAACTCCCGACCTCAGGTGATCCACCCACCTCAGCCTCCCAAAGTGCTGGGATTATAGGGGTAAGCCACCATGCCCAGCCCAGATTCTTCTTTAGAAGGCCCATGTACATCCAGCTGCAGTGGGACCAGCCTGGGAAACATAGGAAGACCCTATCTCTACAAAAAAAAATTGTTAATGAGCCAGGTTTGGGGGTGCACACCTGTGCTACCAGCTCTTTGGGAGGCTGAGACAGAAGATCGCTTTGAACCAGGGGGTTTGAGGCTGAAGTGAGCCCTTATCATGCCACTGCCCACCAGCTTAGGTGACAGAGACCCATCTTAAACAAAATTTTAAAAATTTTATAAGGTCCGTGTATATACCAAGTATCAGTAACTGAGAAAACATTTTGCCCACTGGTTAAGCCCCATAAATAGAATCCAGGGCAGGGGCTTTGTCTGCTTCCTGTCTCACATTTCCCTGTGTTCCAACAGCAAAGCAGGCCAAATTTGCAAAATGTTCAAGGCCCCTGTACTTCAGGAGGTTCCAATCATGAGACACCTAATAATGCCTTTGGGCAGAAAGTCCTAGAACTCAGAAGTGCCATGACCTTGCATAGAGGTAGGCCTGCAGCTGAGGGGTGTCACATGGTGTAAAAGGCCTCCCAGCTACATCCTGGGATGGGGTTTGAGATGGATTAATGGCCTTCACATGGCACAGAGGATATTTGTCCCCAGGTTTATCCCTTAATAAAAGCAAAATTACCAGAAAAAATTAAGGTGCCTTTCAACCCATCTCTTCTGACATGGAAGAGGTTTGCTGAGCGGCTTATGTTCCGAATTTGTTTATGAGAACTGATCATCAGTGAGACTGGCCGCAGTGTTTCGCCTTGCACACGCATGCTCAGTGAAGCCTAGACATTCAGAGCAGCAGAAATAAAGGAACTTACTGTTCTTTCCACCTTGCCTGAGACTGGCATTTTAGAGACCTGTTAAAAGAAAGCCTTCACACGGCTGGGTGCTGTGGCTCACGCTTGCAATCCCAGGACTTTGGGAGGCCAAGGTGGGAGAGATCGCTTGAGCTCAGGAGCGAGACACCATCTCAAAAAATGAGAATTTGAAAAAAGAAGAAAGCTTCACAGAATTTCCTAAAGAAACTTCTGACTCCCTTTCCCTTACCCTTTCCTCTTCTTAATGCTCTGTTACGAAAGAAAAAGCTGACGTTGCTGTTGAGAGTCTCATCCCAGGACTGGAGCCCCCAGTTCCCCAGCGCCTCCCATCTCAGACGGAATCTGTGGCCTCGAATCGCACAGGTCAGTCAGGGGTCTCTGCAGCTGCAGGGACTGGTCGGTGCGGTGAACCTCTGAGCCAGTCTTTTCACGTGACCCGGTCGACCCCGGGCTTCTTTTGCAGCCCAGGTACTTCCTCCTGAAATGGACACACTGAATTGTTACGGCCCCAGCTTCTAGATGTTGAGGGATATATTTCCTTGCTAAAGAACTGAGTACTTTTTGGAGCCATGTTCTCTGTGGAGTAATCTCTGGGCTTTCTCTGGTTACAGTATTTCTTTATTCAAGATTCTTTTCACTGGTGGCGGGATCCCTCTATGTCCTTAATTAAAGAACTCCACTGAGCTGTAAGGACACCCTTAACCCTCCAGATTGCTGTGCATCTTTCCAGTCTACCAATGTCAGTGATGGCCATGGAGCTCATCTTCTATATATTGATGTTCTGTTCCCAGCATAGTGCTTTAATCTTGTATAGGTAATTTGCTGTTAAATTGTAGGCAAACTTGAAGTCTTCCCTAGATCTAATATTGCTTGTACCCTGATTTCAAAATTCAGTCTTACAGTCTTAATAGAATTTCTTAACTGCCCACAAATACAGATTTGGTAACCTTTTTTTTATTTTTGGGTCCATAATTCCCTTGATAAAAGTATCTGGTTTTCAAACTTGGATAGAAACAGTTAGAAGCCTAGGAAACGTGTGGATAAATTCATGCAGGTGAAAAAAAAAATACCTCCAAAGACAATATGATTTATTTTCCTTGTCCTCATTTGAATGTTTTCTCCTAGAAAACTTTCTCAGAAAACAATCCCTGTGTTAAAATGCTTAAACTCAGGCCGGGTGTGGTGGCTCACACCTGTAATCCCAGCGCTTTGGGAGACTGAGGTGGGCGGATCACCTGAGGTTGGGAGTTTGAGACCAGCCTGACCAACATGGAGAAACCCCGTCTCCACTAAAAATACAAAATTAGCTGGGTGTGGTGGCACATGCCTGTAATCCCAGCTACTCGAGAGGCTGAGGCAGGAGAATCACTTGAACCCAGAGGCAGAGGTTGCGGTGAGCCAAGATCGCCCCACTGCACTCCAGCCTGGGGGACAGAGCCAGACTGCATCTCAAAAAAAAAAAAAAAAAACTTTGAGTTTTTGTCTTGGTTTTCTGAAATCAAAATCATGTTCAAAGGGCCAATTTCAATGTAAAGAATACTAGTAAGAGGCATTGTGGGTGGGAACCTGGTTCTAGAAGGTACTGTTTAATCTTGTCGCATTCTGCTAATAATAAGGCAGTGGCAACCCTCTCCTAAACAGTTTGGATACTTCGTCCTATGGTAACTTCTTTCAGTGAGTGTTTAGGGAAACTTTAAGTGAAAGTCTAATTGTAAATTTTTTTCTCCCAAATGGCATTCACTAAGAACTGAGGTGCTAAAGTTAGCTCAGCATCCAAATCACAGACCTGTTTAACCAGCAACCTCTGAGCAAAAAATTATCCTCTATTTCTATATTAATGTTAAGAGGAATCTAGAAAGACATGTTTCTGTAGATGAAAATCCAGAAGGCTTCACAGATTTCTTTTGGTTTTCTTTGTCCCACTTTGGCTTGTATGTGTAATGTGTAAATGCAGTAACTTAAAGGCTAAGATCTAATCTCATGATATTGTTGTGTGTGCCACTTAATGCCATCACTGACCTGGGATGCTGTGAATCTGGACTCAGATTCTCTCACCGGGGAAGATTCCCTGCTTGATTGTTCTCTGCTCTCTAACCCTACTACTGACCTTCTGGAAGAGTTTGCCCCCACAGCAATCTCTGCTCCAGTCCATAAAGGTAAATACTTTCTTCTTCTCAGGCCCACATGTGTCCTTAGAGGGGAAAGAACTAAACAACTTTTGAGAGTTTTTCTTATCAAAAGTCTTTACTAGTGAAGTTTTAAAACTACCTCCTTATATGGAAAACTTGAGTTTGTACTCCTACATACTGTGTTATAATACCTCTCAGTGAGAATATTTGCTAAGACTTAGACAATAGGCCAGGTATGGTAGCTCAGGCCTGCAATCCCAGCACTTTGGGAGGCTGAGGTGGGAGGATCACTTGAGCCCAGGAATTTGAGACCAGCCTGGACAACATACAGAGTCTCAGTCTCTACAAAAAAATTTTTTAATTAGCCAGCCATGGCAGCATGCACCGATGGTACCAGCTTCTTGGGAGGCTGAGGTAAGATGATTGCTTGAGGCCAGGAGGGCAAAGCTACAGTGAGCCATGATTATACCACTACACTCCAGCCTGGGCAGCAGAGCAAGACTGTGTCTTAAAAAAAAAAAAAAATAACAGACAGGTACTAAAAATAAATAAAATTAAATCTAAAAAAAGACCTAGACAACAGATTGGTGAAAGTGTTGCTTTCTGGCAAGAACATAGAATGCAGATATTCCATGTTACCTTTAAAAGCTAGGTACCTTTGCAATCAATTCAAGTAGATGGTTGAAGTGACTATCTACTATCTGCTTATAATGATCAATATGATGCTTGTTGGCCTTAGATGTAAAATGGTTTTATCATATCTGATTCAAAGTTATTGCGTAGTGATGACTGCAATAAAGAAATAAGCATCTTTCCTCAAAAGTCAGTCCTGTAAGTTTGAACTTGTAGAAGTTCACCTTCAAGTCATGATTGGTTACTGGATTTCTCTGTCTAATCTACCATTTTCATTTTTTAGTCTTGGGTTAATAGTGGTCTGAAATCCTGCTGGACAGAGGTAGCTTGAATCAGATTCTATTCAATGAGTAGTTTGTGACAGTATCAGGCTCAATGCCTGGCTTACTTTGTTACTGAACTTTCTGTGATTGGGTAGGGAAAATAGTCTTCTGGAAAGAGAAAATGCGTAGAAAAAGAAGAGCTTAAGTCCCTTCAGGAGAAAATTCAAGAAGGAAGACTCCCCAGGATGACTAAAAATAATCACCCCTGTGGTTTGCAATGGTAATAGCTGAGTTTTTGTTTTTACCCCTGATAACATTAAAATGATTATGTTTTTATAGATTATGTAGAGGGAAGTTACCTATTTAGACAGTGATGTCTGGCAGGAGTGTGTCAGCAGCAATGTAGAATTACAGAGAAGCATCATTTGCAGAATAGGTGCTCAGCTAGCACTTGCTTGCGGGTAGGATAGCTTTAATTAGAATGGAGAAGACCATTCTAACAAACCTTCTACTTGAGGCCTCGGTATGTGTAATCTTGTGCCTCAGCATTCCCTGAGGCGTCTGAGTTGTTTCAATGTCTTTTTTTCCCAGTCACAGTGCAGTGAGTCCTTCCAGCAGTATTTTGTTTGCCTTGTATACATACAGTGGTTACTTCTTAGAGAGCCACCAATTCTCTTCCTCCTCCCCCGCCTCCCCCGCTGTCCCGGTTTTGAGTTTTTCAAATATTGTTAGGCCTCTGTTCCCCCAGTGAAGACAAGTGACTTATTCCTATGCCTTTGTGGATTAGTGACATTGAGGAGATACCTCACAATAATTATAATTAATGGCTTATAAATCTTAGAATTCTTCCAAGAACCCTTCTCCCTAATCATTTATAAAAGTCTTAACATGACCAACTCTAAAGCATTTTTTTCTATATCTCTGTATTTTCCAGTTTTGCTACTTTTATTTCAACTCAGAAAGATGAGTACTTTCACCTTTGGAAATAACAGGGCTGTACAGTTGAGATCTTTGTGCCTCTTTCGCATTCTCTCATTTGCTAATCTCTACCTCTGTTGTTTCTGCTTGTGTACTTGCATTCTGTATTAAGCTGCAGAAGATAGTAATCTCATCTCAGGTTTTGATGTCCCTGAGGGCTCGGACAAGGTGGCTGAAGATGAGTTTGACCCTATTCCTGTATTGATAACCAAAAACCCACAAGGTAAGAAAAAGGATGGGGAAAAGAGAAGAGCTTGGCCTCAGTTCTCTTCAAAATAGTCATGCACCTAATCTGCAAGGGGGAAGAAAAGCATCAACATTTAATGAAGGACATTGGGAGTAAGCATTGTAGGCTGGACCAGTATGGATAGATAGAGATAGGTATCTTTAAAGTTTGACCATGGTGTTTATTTAGAGAGAAGTATTTAACAGTTGGCCAAAAGTTAGTTTTTACCATGAAGCTAAAAGCAAAATGATCTTCAGTCAGTGAAAACCTGAAGGTATATATCAAAAGCACATCACATTTTTTTATCATGATTAGAATAATCAGTAATAAATATTTTTCCCAAAGAGATTAACAGCTGTGTTTTGGTATCATTCACATCTTTCTGACATTCATGGAGCATCCTTTTTCAACTTTGATGGATGAAAATCATTTGAACATGCCATAAAACACTAAACTGCCATAGGACCATCTATTTATTTTTTAAAGCATGTTCGTATTGCAGTATCTTAATAACTAGTTTCTCCCCAAAGCAAAAATTATTGATTTTTATTTTGTCAAAGGGAAATGGCTTGATATTATCAGGAAGTTAGTATATAGCCAGCAATTCTCAACCAAAAAAAAGTATTGATTTGAAAATACTTTTGCAAGGACTCTTTGCAAGATGTCCTGCCTATACTGTGGTGTGCACAGAGTGCCTGAGCTTTTGGTGGGAGGTGGTGGACAGCTAACGTATGTGTTTCAAAATCAACATGTAAGGGTTTGCAAATGTAAACTATTGCTTCTCTAGGGTTTGATTTTTTTGTTTTTGTTTTTGGTTTTGGTTTTGGTTTGGTTTTTCTTCTTTGCTTGCTCTGCACATCTAAACCTTAACCCTCTATGTTTTGTACTGAATTCCTATCTCTCCACTTCCAGGTGGGCACTCTAGAAACAGCAGTGGGAGCTCTGAGTCCAGTCTTCCCAACCTAGCCAGGTCTTTACTGCTGGTGGATCAGCTCATAGACCTGTAGCCGTGACCCAGTAGCAGATGCAGTTCTGTAACCTTCATACCGTAAAATACATTTTCATTACGGAGTTATGAAAAAAATGATTTTTTAAAAAAAAATCTACAAATAAGGGGCCCTCCAGCCCTTTTCTCCTACCCCTTGCCTTCTCCTGTAGAAATGATAAGGAAAGAAAATCACTTTGGCCCTCCAGATATTCCTTGGCCAGTTCCTCCTTGTTAGTTTGCTGTGTTTTCTCATTACCCTTCTTCAATAGCATTATCTTAAATCAAGCGCTAGATGCCATGAGCTTCACCTCTGCTGGAATCGACTCCACCAAAAGCTTAACTGTAACTGAAACTAGTGAATTGACATTTTTGTCTCGTTCTTGCTAGGAATGGCCTCCCAAATCAATTCTCCCAACCCCTGTCTCCTTTGGCCAGATGCTGATGAATGTATTTCCCTGTTTTTGCTTTTTATCCTGATGCATTATCATGAGGACATGGCTACTTCAGTTGGTCTTAACTCTAGGCATTAGCCTGGAGATGGGTGTGTGGTTTAAGAAAGGGTAAAACTTACTGACTGGTAGTATACATTTGAGAAGAGAAATTGAGCCCAGCTCTAGCCAATCAACTTTGACCTTGTTTGATCATAGACTTAGCCAAGGGATTTTACACCCCATGCAACCTGCCCAGCATTCGTCCAGCTTTCTGGCTTCCATTGAACCGTGATTTCTCAGATCTGGAGACGTGACTGCAAGTACTTGAGATCCTTGGATAAAATGTGTACGTTATATAAATCCCAAGTATTGCCATTCCTTTTCATGTTAACTGTTCCAAGTGGGATCTCAGAATTAGACCAAAACAAGACAGTGGTGGTAATATGATACCTTTTATTAGAAGACTTTTCACTGGGGCGGGGGTGGGGGGAGGATGGGGAGGGGAAGGAATTGTAGCAGAAACAGATGTATTTTTCTTGTGATTTTTATTTTGAATCAAATATTGTAAATTGTGTATAAATGAAGATGCTGAATAGTTCTGTTTCCACTTGGCATTTCAAGTCTGATATCAGGTGTCTGTACAGGGTTTTGATCTCTTCCCCTTGTATAACTACACAGCAATCCTACAGTGTAACATATGGAATCATTTTGAATAGACTTGTGTGTGGCTATAAGCTTTCAGCAGGTCCTCTGTCTCTAGAATACGCATGTTGTTTATTTTCAGATAATCGGAAATAAGTGTGCTGACAAGCTGGACACAATCTGGGTGCGCCCGGCTTACCTTTCTTTCTGATGTTTAAATTGAAGGCTGCAGCCAATGGAATATGTTCAGTTGGTTTTCCTTGGCTTCCTAGATTAAAAAAATAATTATAAAACAAAGCATAGTTCTTTATTAACTTTAGGATATTGTTCATAAAATAAATAAAGGCCCCTGCACTAACATGACAACATGCCTCATGGTCACCCTCTGTATTATCACTTACTCACCACTTACTCATTAAAGTGTATTTTATTTCCTTATGTGGAAAACACTTTTATAACATCACCCTTTTGAAAAGAAGTGGGCACAGAGAACCCCAGTCTTGTTCTCTTCCTCTAGTGCCATTGTCCATCATCAAAAGGGAAACTCTCAGTTAATCAGATTTGTACAAATAAAATTCCAAGTCCATTTGCTTGTTTTGCTATCTAGTACTTTTGTTTCTTCTTCCTCATGTTTGCACTTTAAGAGGGGAAAAGGTTTAACAGTCACAACAGTATAAAACACTGCATTCTGGAGGGCAAGGTTTGACCCTAGGAATGTGCGAGCAGCCTTTGAAAGGCATTGGAGGAAAAGTCTGAATCTTCCAGCCTTCCTTCTGTCTATGAATACTTCCCGTGCTGGCTGAAACAAGATGAGCTAGGTAAAGGCCTCTAGATGATAACAGATCATTTCTAAAACTGAGAGAGGCACAAGCTTCCTGCCGAGGATTAAAAAGCAAAAGATATCCACGAAGGGGTCTCTGTGGTTGGATAGCAGTGAAAATAGGACTTGGTTTACCCCTTTATGGATAGGAAAATTGCTGCAGGTCAGAATTGTATTCTCTTTCCTGGACATAGAAAGAATGTATGAATTAATGAAGGAAATGTTTATTTTTAAATAAGAATAATGTTTGAGTTCTATGTTTTCATATTTGATTTTTTTCATATATACATGTTAGAAATATGAAATATCTAGTTTCTCAATTTAATTGAAACTATGAAGAATACAGTTTAGAAATTAGGTATCTCTAAATTGTTCTTTTCATGCATTACCCATGATTACATTGAGATATATTATCTAGTCATTTGGCTCAGTAAAGCTTAATGGAGGCAGTTAATGAAAATGAGCAGACTAGAAGCCAGAGACGGTAGTAGAAGCCTGAGGGAGATAATGACAAGAAATCATCTTGGGCTTATTTAGAGTAAGGCCTCCTCAAAGGGGAGAACTGTTTTTCTGTAAAGGAACACATATGAGTGCTTTGGTAAACGGAGCCTTCCTTGGTTTAGAGCATCATCCCTGAGCTAAAAGAGTTTCTTTGAGTTGAGCATAGTGTCCTAGTACCTGTGGAATCATAGCCTGAGCTACTAAGGGACCTTTGAGACCATCCTCTAGTCCACCATCCTCTTCATTTTACAGGTGTGGGACCTGAGCTGGATTGAACAGGGTCGGGGGAGAAGAGGCCTGGGCAGGACAGGCCACCTGGGATCTCATCCTGGCCCTTGCCAGCCACTGGCTGAGTGACCTTCAGCAGGCACTTCACCTCTCAGAGCTGCTGTTCCTTAGAGTTATACAATGGGTTTGGACTAGATGGTCTTTAAGATTATAGAAGTATAGGGACCTAAGTATATATTATTATGTTTAGAAGGGCTATGAAGGATTTATATAATCCTGATGTTCTTCAGTTATCTTCTGTAGTTCCTGCTATTATGGCAGCAGTGTTTACATTTTAAAGAATTATAATGGGCTTTTACTAACTTGCTTTCTCTTGATATCTGAATAGAAGCCTAAATCATAGTCTTAGAGATTTTCCTTTTTAAGTATTACAGAAACACATGCGTCCACACACACCTACCTATTCTAATAAAATGGTATCAGAAGATTTCTTTTTAAATGTATAATCAGGGATCTACCAGTTTAAAACAGGCAAATACTATAAGCATATGTTTCTGATCTGCTTTTATTCCAGCTATGTAAGAGGAATAACTATAGCAGAAAACATCACAAATTGATTTTTCCCTTTACAACATTCAAATGAGTCCCAGTGTTTTCAAAAATACATACCTCAGAGGAGATAAGGCTTAAGTGGACACTTCTAAGTATGATTATAATTGTCATAATTAATGATTTCTTTAGCAGACATATCAGAATTTTGACATCTAATTAAGTGTTGTTCCCTTCAATGTCATCTAGTTTTACTTAAGAAGTTAATACTTATTCTAATGATGCTGCCATCCTTAAAGTTATTTTTGAAACTCCTCTCCTTAGAAATAATATCAAGGAAGGTAATAAGGTATAAGAAAATCAGTTATATTATTTAATTAGTATAACTTTGAGAAAGCATCTGAAAGTATATTCATTCTTTATCTACCTTTTCTATTACTCTTGGTTCTGAGTAACATTTAACCATTTCCAGAAAGCAAATTCAACCCTGTAAGATGAAGAATGGTTACTGTTGAAGACGGTAAAAAAGAATAATCCACAAAAAATTCTCAGAGGACCTTATAATAGAAAGTGAACATGACTAAGACTTAATTTCTTTAATATTCTGAATAAGGAAACTTCTGTGATTCCCTAGTCTTTAGAATGGTTTAAAAAATGGAAAGATATGGGTATTAAAACACCTCTGAAAGAAGTTGTCACTTTGTTCAGTGTTATTTGATATTGGACTTTACTTTTCCTGAATTAGAATTACAGGACTTGGATTGCTAATACTTGTGGGAAAAACAAACTCAAGAAACGAACCTACTTTTCTCAAGATGTAATATTTGTTTTGTTATTAATATTTTTGTTTGTTTTGAATACTTATTTCCTACTCTCCTGACAGATAATTGATCAACCAATATAACCTTCCCCAGGTCAGGAATAGTTCTGCCTTCGGCAGTGCTATGGGAATGAAGGGATCTCTGGGGCTGACAGCCTATGATGTGTAGGGATCTGCAGTCAGCTGAATAAATACATGCTATAGATACCTTGGGTCAAAATACAGTCTCTCGTGATAAGATTTTTCTGTGATTTCCCAGAGTCCTTAACCTTCTCAGTCTGTAAGATTATCAGGCTCCCATAGCCACTAACTTTGAGCTTTGGGATGAAAATGACAGGATTGCCCAGTGTGCTGGGTTAAGCAAATTAGAGGCTGCCTGGCAGAACAGAAAGACTATCACATGAATATTTAGAATGGAATCTTTCCTGAAACACTCCAGATACTGCAACGCTCTCTTTTATTCCTCTCTAAAGGCTATAATTTTATCAACACAAAGTCAGCCTTTTCTTTTTCCACACTAGTAATGTTTCTGAAGTTGGACGTGCTTAGGTTTCTTAAATCAGAATGAGTCCCAGAAAATCTATAACAAGAAAACTCTTTTGCTTCTCCCAGATTTCCTTTCATTAATATGGGATAGGGAGGCTCCTTGGGTAATGCTAACCTATACAAAGAAGTTACCAAATGGTGGTAGTTGCTAGAATGAAAGACACTTTCTTGGTTCACACTTTCATATAGTGTCCTGAATTTACTCTTTTCCTGTGAGTATTCTACTCTGCCCTATTGCACTCTCCTTTGCCATGTGGATGTGTATTTATCATAGGTCTTTAACCCGTCCTTCCCAAGATGACAAAGCAGACAGTTGTACATGAAGATACACAGTAAAAATGTGAAATTTGAACATTGCTGCACAAGTATTGTATAAAAAAAAAAAGTCTGTAAAGAAATTTCTTATGTAAACATACAGGGAAAATAAAGACTTTTATCTGTTCCAATGGGAGAATGATGTTTAGAGATGTAAATAAAATAAGTTGCTCTTTTCCTGGGCTGAAAACCCACTTTTTTGCAGAAAGGATTTAATCACAGTATTGAGTGACAATAAGTACCTGGGCACAGGAAAAGTATAGCTACACACTGAGGACATATTAATGAATCATGGCTACCCGAGAGAATAAAACCCCTGTGGTCAAGGAGAATAAGACGCCTGCCAGCCTACGCTGGATATGTCCAGACACAGGGTTGTAAAATGGAGAACAGACTTGCAGCTTCCTCCTCTAACTTAATCCCTAATATACCCAGGCCAACTTTTTTTTTCTTTTTTTTTTTTGAGACAGAGTCGGCTCTGCCACCCAGGCTGGAGTGCAGTGGCTGGATCTCAGCTCACTGCAAGCTCCGCCTCCCGGGTTTACGCCATTCTCCTGCCTCAGCCTCCCGAGTAGTTGGGACTACAGGCACCCACCACCTCGCCCGGCTAGTTTTTTGTATTTTTTAGCAGAGACGGGGTTTCACTGTGTTAGCCAGGATGGTCTTGATCTCCTGACCTCGTGATCCGCCCGTCTCGGCCTCCCAAAGTGCTGGGATTACAGGCTTGAGCCACCATGCCCGGCCTCCTGCTTCTTTTTTTTTCTTTTTTTTTTTTTTTTGTATTTTTTAGTAGAGACGGGGTTTCACCGTGTTAGCCAGGATGGTCTCGGTCTCCTGACCTCGTGATCCGCCCGTCTCAGCCTCCCAAAGTGCTGGGATTACAGGCTTGAGCCACCGCGCCCGGCCTGGGCCAACGTAATTAAACATTTTGTGTTGGCAAGATTAATTTTATCCCCAATGAGAAAGCTCACTCATTTAATTGCCTCATTGGCCTGAGAGGCACAGCTGGCCATTTTTGGCTTCCATCAGGTCCCTCATTTCCCAGTCGTGGGTTTTAACGCAGCTACCCAATATATGGTGGAACCAAATGCTTAATTTTATTATGTGAGCTAGAAGGTCATGGTAATTATTAGTTTGATGTACGTCTCTTGATTTCCCTAGTTTGGTTCTGAGATTTTAAGTTTCAATTGCTGCTGCATTTCCAAGTTCTTGTGAAGGGATAGTTTGCTTTCTGTTTACTAACAATATATGAGAAGGCTTCTTCTCAATACTCCAAGTCTTCATTTTCTGTTTTTGGCAAGAATTATATCTTTGATACTCCCTGTAACTGTTATTTCAGATTTTGGTAGGAGGAAAAGTAAACTTCCGGTTGAGCGTGATGTATTTCATTAAGGAATATCCAGCCTGACATTTAAGTCTTCAGACTTTGATTCTGTAGGGAGCATTCTGATGACCTTCACTATGTCAGTCAGATGGAATTTCCAGGGGAAACCCATCCTAAATGATTCAGCACTTTGGGTTGCTTTGGAAGTGAATAGGGAGCTGGTGAGGATAGTTGCCAAGTCATCAGGTATTTTAGGAACTCCTCTTCCCTGAAGCATGTGAGTTCTTGCTGAAATCTACATAATTTGGAGCCTCAAAATAGACTGATATGGACTTACCCATATTGAACGTGTCAACATCCCTAACCTGGCACACAGTCCTACATCAGAGCAAGAAAAAGAAGTGTGTGTTGACTTCTTGCTTAATTTTATGTGTGAAACCAAAATAAAAAGAGGCATGACCCAGTTTGAGGGAATTATAACAAAACCCTACCTTAGGCTCCATGGTAAGTAAGACCCTGTGCAGACTATGAAGCCAGGCCCTGGGCTTTATAGCCCCTGAGGTGCAACAGGCAGTGTTTACTGAGCTCTGTGGCCACAGGGTATCTGCTGTGACATGCCATTGGTTACCAAAGGAACTGGGCCAAGGCATGTGGTTAGGTTAGTATAAATCCTTCAATGCTAGTAGAGAGACTGCTTCAAACACATTTCCTTGTTGGCACAATGCTACCTTCATATAAAGGAACTGTTCATCCTGAAAACACATTTTCCCTGTAAGAACACGTTCACGTACTCAAAGACTTTGATCTGCCAACAAGATTTAATAGTTACCTTCTGTTTCTATTTGGAATTTCTCCTTCTCTTGACTACCTTGTTTCTGGTGCTACCACCACCAGAATTCCTTAAGGGAATGTGGAGGTCTGGGTTTCCCCCATATTCTCTGGCATTTCTTTGCCCTTCAGAGTGCCAGGCTCGGAGAGTTGCAAAGTGTGATTGCTGTCCGCCTCGGCCACACCATACCTCCTCTAACAAGAACAGAAAGGTTAAGGGACTTGGCCTTCTCAAGAGAACCCTTTAAATACACGTTTACTTTCCTGCAAAGCCTGTTGATGCTGAAAGAAAGAGAGGAAATAGCTCTCGTCCTTGTTTTGAAGGACAGGAGACTAATTTTCCCTTCAAACTTGATATTCTGGTGTTTTTGTGACTGTTTTTGTAAATTATTCAAAGTTGTTGGAATTTTAAGTCTGATTTTCCCATTACTCATCATGAAGGTCATAGAATATGCTCTGAGTTGGAAGGTTTTCCAAGTGGGTTCTTGACCAAAAACCCACTGTTTAACAAATAATTTTGATTTGGTTAGACATGTTCTTCCATCCTCTCCAACTCTGGATATGGGCACACACACACCCCTTGGTACTTCCCAGTTCTCAAAACGTAATCTAGCACTTCAGGCATCCAAAGTGCCCCTGGTTCAATAGATAGCTGCTTTTTGCCAGTCTCTGTGCACAAATTGTTTTGACTGAATTCAGTTTAAATTTCCAAAAAGCACTGATTCTGTTCAAACTAATGTTCATTGGATTATTGACCTGTATGATGCCAGAGTTGGTCCTTGGCTTGCCTAAGTTTTCCATTTTTTTTTCCTAAGAGATATTTTGCTCTCCTGCAGAACAAGCTTAATAACATTAACTTTCAAGGTAGTTTTGGAAGATGAGAAATTGTGCTTTTGTTTTGGCAACTGAAAACTTTGTCCAACGGATACTATGTGAGGAAGGTGGTTCAAGGAGTTTTAGGGCCCTCTTGTCCTTCTTTAAGGCTCTGCAAACCTTATTTTGGAAAACTTCTTTTTCTCCCTTTTATTTGAATTTCCTCCCAGAAATTATCATCTTGGTATCACTGAGACAAATCTAGTATCAGTATACTTGCCTGAGAAACTAGGATTATGTCTGTCCACATAAATTGCAAGGGAGAAGGTATTCTGTTTATTTCCTGCTGATGCTTTCATATCACCATGTAACTGCACATATTAGAATTATAATGCAAGGAAAAATTTATTCTCTTCAAAATCTTATTCTTCAAATACTATTCAGAAAGCCATTTGGCACCAGTACAGAATTTAACTTAACGCTCCAATCTGGAATTCACTGAATGCATTCAAACTGTTAGAAAGGAAAATAAAAATGGAGGACAAACACATTTTTGTTTTGTTTCTGAAAACAATATTTAAGGTCAGAACTGTTTAAAAAGAAGCACTGCTAAAAAGTTACAGGATTCAGAGAAACAGTATTTTTGTACAGTATCTTATAAAATGTTCAGACCTCTCTCTACATTCTCTTTACAATGTAATGTCTCTGAAGTGACTGGTTTCCCAATAAACTGATTTTAATGCCTCTTCTCCTGTGGTCTGTGTGCTTAATTCAAGCAGAAACTTTAGCAGGGGATAATTTTTGGCAGAAATTTCTGCTAGCTAATGCTTTGCATAGGAGGGGAGAGGGTCAGTATGGGAAGGGGATCATTGAGTTCCATCTCTACAGAGGTTCTGGGTCATCTATGGCTCCAAATCATTGTATCTAATATTCTTATCCTGGTGGGCTGGGCAACTCCAGTAGTATCTCTTTACTGAGCCCATGGTGACATGATACCTTTACCCCCAGCCACCTTTTCTCTGGATTCTTCTTGCTTAGTTACATATGCCTTTTTCCTGCCCTCTTGCTAACATGTGCCCAATGACATACTTCTAACCTGCTAATGTTTCTTGGAAGGTAAGCTCTCTTGCATTCTGATCATTGTCTATTTGATTTTAAAAGCCAGAGCACCCTGAGGCACCTCTACCTAGATAGAAATAGACTAGTATATTGGAGTTTGCTAATGCTTCTGTAATGACCCATGCATTTTACTCCTTCTGCTTAAATAACTTTATGACAGATTCATTTAAGCAGAGGAGCTCTTTATGAACTTAGAAGACTGAAAACAAAATTCTGGGGCAACTCCAGCTGAAGGTGATTTATTTGGTCTGATTTTGATGCTGTATGTTCCCCTCAGAAGGTACCTTCAGTATTAATATTTTGGGCACTCTTGTGCTCTTTGAGTAGTGCTTATGACGTAAGTCATCAAGTAAACTTGCATTTATCAAGCAGCCACATTCTGCTTCTTTTCAGAGTTTGTCCCTCTGCATGTGGCGCAGATGGCCACATGCCAGATTCTGAATTGAGTCATCCCCAGACAGTGTTTCTACATAATCCAAAACTGTCATGGTATATGTGGAGATGAATGACTGGGTTTGTTTTCATTCCATAATGAGCCAGTGCCAGGTAGAGCAGGTGTCCGTGCCTGGCCCTGTGTGTAGGAGCATTGCATAGTTAACGCTGAATGTCTGTGTGCCTAACATCTTCATCTCCTTTCCTGTACGTCGTGCCTATCATGTTCCAAAACGTGAGACAGTGGTTGGTTGTGTTCCAGTTTGTGTGCAGTTTCCTTGCCTGACTTTTATTTTTATGTTTTTCCTTTTGCATTTTCAACATCTATTATTTAGTCCCACAATGTTTTTGCCGCGGGTTGACCATTAAATGTTCCAAATAGAGTTGAATTGACCTACACATTAATTCTGCATTTTATGCTTTTCTAGGTCTCCAGAGAGAGTCCAGTCCCTGTCCTGTAATAACTGTAGAGCACTTTAAAGAATCACTGGGCGTTAAAGGCCTTCCCCTGTATCCAGACCCCTCCAGAGTACCTGGCATAAAGACTCAGAACAACTTAGAATCTGACTACTTGGCCAGAGATGGCCCTTCAAGCAACAGCTCATTCCACAGTAGCGAAGAGGAAGGGACTGACCTTGAAGGAGATATGCTGGACTGCAGT